CAGTGGATAGTATGCTAGACTGTAGAGTCGAGGGTCCGTGGTTCACGTCCCGTTACCATATATATATATATATATATAGATATATATAATTCAAATCTTGCTTTTCAGGTGCGTTATAAGAATGACGGTCAAATCGCACTATTCTGTCAGATAAGAGAAGCCCAAGAGTTGGCAATGGGTGGTATTGACTAGTTGTCTTCTCTCTAGTCTATCAGTTCAAAATTGGGGCTAGCTAACGTAGATATCTCTCGTTTAGTATTGTGCAAAATCAAAGAAAACAAACATCTTTTTTTCTTATGTCATAAATTGTCCTCCGTCCTGCAGAAAAATATTTAAAAACCTAAAAGGCGCCTTTACTTTTCGACTCTTTAGAATATGACCTCTCTGTTGAGGGACGCGTAAAAGTTGAAAATGTAGGAATAATCCCCTCTCCGAAAATAAAATCCATCCCTCGTGTTACTAAACAGCAATTTGCTAAATTTGTTTCAAACGCAAAAGATCAGAAGTAGTATTTGAACAAATGTTTTCAAACTGCCGCCAGGAGCACAAATTATGTGTTTGGAAAAATCTTGTTATTTGAGAGTAAAATGTTAGTTTTGGATTTAAACATGATATACATAAGTTGTTCATATATTAACCTAAATTTTGCCTCCAGAGGTCGATGCAAAAGAAAGTAATGAAAACTGACAGTATCCCGAATTTATAAAGGTTATCCACCACCGTCTGTAACCAGTCAGCAGTATCCTACCACTAACCATGTACAATAAGGGCTTAACTGTCACTCTTATAACACACCTACAGCTTAAAACGCATGAATATTTTTAGTATCGGACGTCCCCCACCCCCCAGTGGCACAGCGGTATGTCTGTTGAGTTACAACGCTAGAAACCGGGTTTCGATACCCGTGGTGGGCAGAGCACAGATAGCCCATTGCGTAACTTTGTGCTTAACTTCAAACAAAACCAAAAAATAGTATCGTACGGATTGGAACACCGATCGCCCGAATTCATATGAACATATTTACTCCAGGAATTATGCATTGTATAATTGTATTTAGCGGAGTATGACAGAAATGAACAAAATATAATTGAAAATATTAGCTACTTTGCTTAAGTGAAATCTTATATAATTAGTAATCTAATAAGTTGAATGGAAATTGAATTAAATCGAACTCGAATTGCTGCGACAGCAGGACAGAACTTTTTAGGCTAATAACTACTCCGCGGCATTTTGTTTAGTTATCTGTATCTTGAAAAAAAAATTATGTTTTTGCTATAAGACAACCATCACGAAGAATCTAAATCATAGGCTCAGAAACTGTTTGTATTAAAAACATATAATATACGCTGTGGCATTTAAATAAAAATAGTTTATTACAAACATTTTAATTTAACTTAAAGGCAATTTGACGAAATTTTTTTACGAGGCGATGCAACAAGAGAACGAAACGTAAAAAATGTCTGTTTTTCGCACGTTCCGAAAATTTTGTGTATTATTCATTGCGAAAATTATTATTCCTATTATTTTAGATAAGCGTAACTTTTTTGAAAATGTGCGCGACTAATCGGAATGATATACGATCAAGCTGCCGAAATAAAAGAGGATTTGTTTATTTATTGTTAGTGCAAAGCTACACAATAGAATATCTCCGCTCTTGGGCCCGGCATGGCCAGGTGGTTAGGGCAATCGACTCACAATCTGAGGGTTGCGGGTTCGAATCCCCGTCACACGAAACATGCTTGCCCTTTCAGCCGTGGGGGTGTTATAATGTGACGGTCAATCCCACTTTTTGTTGGTAAAAGAGTAGCCCAAGAGTTGGCGGTGGGTGGTGATGACTAGCTGCTTTCCCTTTAGTCTTACACTGCTTAATTAGGCTAGCGCAGAACAGTGTTATAT